ATCTATCTATCTATCTATCTATCTATCTATCTATCTATCTATCTATCTATCATCCATCTCTCTCTCTCTCTCAAAAGTAGATTAAATATTTCCCTAAACAGAGCACCATTCAGAAGGAGATTTTGTAAATTTGCAGTTTGAAGGCATATGAGAAAAATTGGAGAGAAAAGCATGCTGGGGATATCATTCTTCTCTCCCTCATATCTCTGCAAAGGATTTGCCCGCTGGTCTCAGCTAAACGAACCGTGATGTTGTGATACTCTATTCAACCCCGTCACTGTTTTTTTTTTATCTCCCCCATTAACCTTTTTCCCCTCCGTAGATCCCTTCATTCTGCCACATCAACAAGTCGATAAAGGCGCCATTAAATTTGTCCTTAGTGGAGCCAATATCATGTGTCCCGGCCTGACGTCTCCCGGAGCCAAACTTTATCCTGCTGGCGCCGATACGATTGTGGTATCCTTGAGTAGGCCTTGTCTGTGGGTGCCAATTGCTTTCTCAGAATGTGATAGAACGGTGGTTCCCAACCTTTTCTTCACCACAGATCCCCTTAAAATACCTTTTCTGGCCACGGGCGATGACCACGGACCACCAAGACTTAACACCGAGAGCCGTGGTGGCACCGTGGTCGGAAGGCAGGATTGCAGTCTAATTCTGCTGGCTCTCTCTAAGCAGTTTACAGAGTCAGCCTATTGCTGCCAACAATCTGGGGTCCTCAGTTAATGACCTTGGAAGGATGGAAGGCCGAGTGAACCTTGAGCTGGTCAGGATCCAAGGAATCAAACTGCTGGCAGCATGAGCAGAGTTAGCCTGCATCCTGTACCGATTCTAATCGTTCCGCCACCACGGCTCTTATAAAACACAAGTGTGGTTTGCTTAGACTGCTTGTGATCCGGAGCATGGCACAAAGGCAACACAGTCAGATAATCAGTAGGAGTCCCTACGTGCCCTAGGATGAAGTGGGGGTGAACCTGGGTGTTCCTCTGAACTCCTTCTCCCTTGTTCTATCTCTCCCCTGCTCTGCCCAGCCAGATTGTGCCCTTCCCCAGTTTCTTCCACAGCCAACGGAACAGACTCCGATGGGCATGACAGCAATTTTTTTAATTTTTAAGACAGCGTGACGACCCAGGGCGTGGCACAAAGCCACACAGTCAAATAAGCAAGAAGAGTCCCTTTATTATCTCCAACTTTGCTCCCAATGTCTAGCTTACCTTTGGCTGGAGAAAAACTTTCCCAGGAACAGTCTTTAAGTGGAGGAAATTCAGTCCGAAAACAAAGTACATACAAACTAACTAAAAATCCAAACAAACCATGCTGCAGTAATTAACTTGACAGGGCAGGAGAAGGAATTGCAGACTTGAAAGCACAGCAAAACACACACAGTTGGGAAGACGCTAGGAACACAAATAAGCCTTGACAATACCAGATAATTCATCATTTGCTCCCAACAGTTTGCTGTGCGCAACTTCCCTTTTTTAAACACTGTGTTTCCAGCTGCAACTAATGAATGAAATCAGGGCCCTTTCCTCCCCCGTAAGCCACACAACTCTTGTTGCTCCCTTCTCCGTTCCCCCCTGCATGCCCTAGGATGTAGAGGGGGTGGGCCTGGGTCTTCCTCTGAACTCCCTCTCCCTTGTTCTACCTCTCCCCTGCTCTGCCCAGCCAGACTTTGCCCTTCCCCAGTTTCTTCCACAGCCAATGGAGCCACACTCCCACTCCCTGTGAGCTGCTCGACCGCCTCCTCCAAATCAGATTCCGACAAGGACATGACAGACTGCTTCTTCAGTAGTTTTACTTACTGCTGTTATGATGATTTTAAATGACTACAAAAAAGGTTATTTTCCTTAGCAGACTTTTAACAGGCAATAATGGCGGAAGGAAAGCAACACGCACTATGCATTGGGGTCATGAAGATGGCGGCAGACGATATGTGAGTCTTTATGTTTCAAAAGGAAAACTGTACCGTTCTTTAACTTGGCTCTCCTAGATCCAACTAGCGGTTACACATTGCAAGACGTCTAAACTGTCTTCCAGTTTTTGTAGATGGCATGTTTTCTAAACAGTTCAAATAGATAACAAGGGTTTATCTGTCGAAGTTGGCCAGCCGTCAAAAAATGTTTGTTTGCTATAAGGAATTGCCTTACCAAATGTATTTTGATTCCAACTTCCTTCTTAAGAACGTAAGGAAACAGCTGTTTTCTTTCAACTCATTTTATTCTCCTAATTGGTCTATGGAGATTCTTGGTTATCCAGATCATGGTTGTCCCATAGGTGCTTTTTTCCCCCCCAAGAGGCAACTGGACTTTCGGGTTTTTCTTTGAAGAGGTTCAGCTTCTTCACCTTCTCTCAGAAGCTGCTTCTGTTCTCAGAGCCGAAGAAGCTCCTTGGATGAGAAGCGAAACCTCTTCAAAGAAAAAAAAACCAGAAAGTCCAGTTGCATCATGGAAAAAAGGCACCTTTGGGACATCCACCCAGTCATTTTCTAAATTTGGTGAGAGGAATGTGAAGACTTGAAGCCTTTTGATCCTTTCTCCTGCCTTTGTGAGCTTTTGAAAGTGCAAGAGATAAGATGTGACTGGAGGCCATTATTAAACCTTTCCTCTTCCTCTCTTTCAGTATTTGCATATATTTTTAAAAAGGCCGAAAACAAGCCCAGGATTTTTCTAACTTCAAGAGTTAATGTACTGGAAAAAAAAAAAGGCAAAAAGGCTTCTCCGTTCAGCTTTCAGCTGCTTGGTTATAAATATAGGTAGCTTAGGGCGACAATCGAGCCCCCAAATTTACATTGTTAAGTGAGGAAGGTGAGACGATTCTTAAGTCTCTTTTGCCCCATTGTCCAAACTGTTCTTGCCATGTTCGTTAAGTGAATCACAGCGGTCATTAAGTTAGTAACACGATCGTTAAGCCGAATCAGATTTCTCCCTTGACTTTGCTTGTCCGAAAGTCGCAAAAGGGGATCACATAACCCCCCGGAAACACTGCGACCATCATAAATATGAGTCAGTTGTCCAGCATCCAAATGTAAATCACCTTTTTCCCAGGGCTCTTGTGACTTCGAACGTCCACAAAACGAACTTTTAAGTCCAGGACTAGCTTGTTAGGGCAGTGATGGCGAACCTTTTTTATTGTGGTGTGCTGAAAGCGTGCTTGTGCTGGCACCCACAATGCAAGGCGCCCCACCCCACCCCCACCTGCGCATGCACGCACAACACCCTCACCCCGCCTCCTTACCAGCTCTGCATGCATGCATGCGCCTCTCAGCTGATTTTTGGCCCGCTTGAGGCCATTTTCGCCTTCCCAGAGGCTCGAAGGAAGCCTCGGCAGCCTCGGCAGGTCGAAAAACAGGCCCGTTTTGGCACTTCCAGAAGGCACGTTTTCAGCCTCTCGAGCCTGAGGGAAGCAGTTTTCACCCTCCCAGAGACTCGAGGGAAAGTCTCTGCAGCCTCGGGAGGCTGAAAAATGGGCCCGTTTCAATACTTCGCGTATTTCCAGAAGGCCTGTTTTTTTGGCCTCTGGAGGCAGTTTTAACCTGCCCAGAGGCTCAAGGGAGGCTGAAAACGGGCCCGTTTTGGCACTTTGGGTATTTCCGGAAGGCCCATTTTTTGGCCTGAGGCTTTTTTCGAGCCTCCGGGAGGGCGAGAACTGCCTCAAACGGTCCAAAAATCAGCTGGGAGGCGCGCACGTGCACAGTGCAGGTAAATTTGGCTAAGGCTCGTCGTGTGCCCACACAAATGGCTCTGCGTGCCACCTATGGCATGCGTGCCATAGGTTCGCCATCAGGGTGTTAGGGGGTAGCGTCTGCTCATTTGCATTTCATCCAGAGCTGGGAAGACTAAACTTTCCTTCTCCACCTCTCCTCCCCCAGAGAGAAAGTCAACAAAGGGATCGGCATTGAAAATATTCACTATTTAAATGACGGCCTTTGGCATATGAAGACGTACAAGTGAAAAACCAGCGGGAAGTATGCGGCTTGCTCCTGGCCAGCGTGGACTACTCCGTAATTCTGTTTTTAAATGTGCACCTGAATGTACAAATTTATATTGTTCTGTGGCTAATGCTCAATAAATCAAGTGAATGCTGAAGGTCCCGTTAAGCTTTTAAAAATTAAAATGCGTTGCTTTAAGCGATTGTGAAGCCGAGAAGGAAAAGCCAAAAGAGATTTTAGGATTAAAAAAAGGTTCTCTCTTCCCTTTCTTCCGGTGCGATGGCCATCGGGGTGCCATGCTGTGCTAAAAGAAGACGCAGGATGCCCCCCCGTTGCAAAAATAGATTTAATTTACAGTAGATTCATCTTGATTTTAAATATTTACATACCCGCTACGCAATTTGTCGACGAAAAGAAATCTTCGGAAGTGTTCTTTTTTTATTTTTCCCCTCCTCCCCTCCAGGTGACATTCACAGGTGTATAAAAAGGGCTTGTCGGTTTTAAAAAACGGGGAAACCTTCTCCCTCCCCTTTTGCAAAGATTACAAAACCAGATGCCAAGGCTAATAAAGTTCAGATTTGGAACTTGCCCTCAATACATGCTGCTTGCTGATGGACACTACACCTGATGGCGTGTGTGGCGGGGGCCGCCTTTCCCCGCGGCCCTCGTCAGTCGTTATCGGAGTCTGGCGGAGGGAGGAAAGTTAAGGCATCGTTGAAAGTGTGGCCGTACGCTCGGAGCCTGTAGACCCCGTACATCATGACATGCATGTGGTTCGGCGACAGGCCACTGAACGTGATGGCCATATCCGAGCAGCAGCCTTCCACCACCTCCTGCGGGCTGTTCGCCATGGCTTCCTTGATGAGGGCGCCCACCGACTTGGTGTTGAAAATATCCTTCTTCCCCGCATCTTCAGCGTTTTCGGCATGGACCCCGGCGTACTTCAAGCACAAGGCCAGCTGTTTATCTTCGGAAAGCTTCCAAATCATGCCTCCGTGTTCCGGGCACTTATCCGGGTCTTGGAAAATCCGGTAGAGCCGCCGCAAGGATTCCACGCTTAGGACGATCCCGCCAGCTCCGTTCACGTACTGCAGGTCGCCCGAGGATTCGGTCCGGCCCGTGTAGAACGGCTGGCTGGCGTCCTGCTTCAGCAGGAAGTACTTGAGGTTTTCTACGATGGCGAATGTGGTAGGGTAGGCGAGGAAGTACCAGTTGTAGCCGTCGCGGTAATTCTCGTAGGTGTATTTGTAGGCCTGGCGCATCATTGTCCACATGTCGTCCGTGTTCAGCACGATGGAGTCGAAGACTTTGACGTTCTCGGAGCTGTAGAATTCGGCTTTGTCGCAGTGTTTGCTCCAGGTTTCCTTCACAGCGGCCCAGTGTCCCAGATCCTTTGGTTTGACCAGGATTATGCAGTAGACCCGGAGGCTCTGGGTCAGCTCCAAGCGCTTCTCTTTGGAGAGGTTGAGGATGTCCTCTTTCTTGGGAGCTTGGAGGTGTCGGTGGTCGTGAGATTTCGTAGTAGTGTGGCCCGTTCTAATGTGTCCCAGAAGGGTCACCAGGACGCAGCAAATCCCTCCAAGCAACATGCCCTTTACGAAGGAGCCGCTTTCGGGAAACATGATTTCTATATATTATACGGAGCAGGGAAAAAAAATACAGGGTTATTGAGTGAAGATTCAACAGGTTGCTCATCTGAGGGCATGCCAAAGATGCTTTTTCCAAGAGGCCACTGGTCTTTCTTGGAAGACGTTTCGCTTCTCATCTAAGAAGCTTCTTCAGCTCTGACTGGATGCTGGGGAATGGAAGGGTTAATACGCCTTGCAGACAGCTTAGTCATTTGCATTCTTTTAAAAGTCGTTGAGGCCACCCCATACTCATTTGCACTACTTGGGTGACACAGATAAACCTCCAGGTGGCCTCAAAGACTCTCCAAAAAGATGCAAATGACCGGCTGTCTGCAAGGTGTATCAATCCTTCCATTCCCCAGTCAGAGCTGAAGAAGCTTCTCGGATGAGAAGCAAAACGTCTTCAAAGAAAAAAAAACAACCACCAGAAAATCCAGTTGCCTCTTGGAAAAAAAAAGCACCTTTGGGACAACCAGGACGTGGATGACTGAGAATCTGAAAACTACAAGTAGTCCTCAACTTAGGACCACAATGAGCTCAATTTTTTTATTGCCAAGCGAGTTAATTTTCTTCCATTTTATGATCTTGCTGCAGTTGTTAAAGTCAATCACTGTGTCAGTTAAGTTACTAACACCGTTGTTTGAGTGGATCTGGCTTTCCCGGTCACAAATGGTGATCACATGATCCCTGGGACACTGCAACCATCATAAATACGAGTGGGGATGCTGCCAGACTCGTAAGCGTGAAGAAGAATCGTAAGTCACTTTTTTCAATGCTGTTTTGACTTCCAACAGTCCCTAAACAAACCATTGTAAATCAAAGACTAACCTGTATAATTTCTGAAGACAAGCAGTGGTGTGGGTTTACACAGCACACTAAACTACAGTTTTGTAAACCCAGGCCTAAAAGTATAACTTTGAACGATTACTAAACAAACTCTTGAGGACTACCTGCATAAATTTCTGAACACCACAAGCAGTGGTCTGGCTAAAGCTACACGTTTGTAAACCCAGGCCTAAAATTTTGAATTCATTTATAAATCATGGTTCAGAGAACACCATCAGGTAAGCGGACTCTGTAAATACAGCCAAAGTAGATTTATTACAGTATATGGCAGAGACAGCAAGGGAAGGATTTGCATCATTCCAAGGCAAAACTGAACAAGGTAAATATTGATTAGACTGAAATGCACCAGATGTGTAAAACACACTATGACTCTACTCGCAGAACAAACTTGGCCCAAAGCAAACGTGTATGTATATGTTCAAGCACATTATGTGAACTAGAATGGGGGAAATTCGGGAGAAAAAAAATGTCATTTTCAATGCAGAACTCTGGTGGAGAAAAAAAAATGATTTTAAAGGCAGCTTAAAGAAGGCCAAAAATTCTTTAAACACACTTTTGATCCCCGATCTCTAATACACCCACTAGAAATATGAAATAATTTCTGTTTGTAGTAAGCCAAACTTATTAATATAGCCTAAAATCAGCAAATGGTGGTTGGCTTTAAACAAGCAGCTCCTTTGCAAATAAATAATGGTTTCAGAGTGGTTTATTTGACCAAAGTCCTGAAAACTAGGCTTGTTTCAGCCACCAATCAGCCAGAAGGGAATTTTAAACTGCTATTAACCAAATAAGCTACTATTTGTCAATGCAGGCAAGTTCAAGAAGTGTGAACTTCAACTCCCAGAATCCCCTAGCTGGCAATGCTGGATGGAGAATTCTGGGAATTGAAGTTGACACATCTTAAAGGTTGCTAAAGTTGAAAAACAGGGTGTTCCTTTTCTTTTTCCCCCCTGCATTCTTAGCAGGGAAAGAGGCCGGAAAGAGCTTCACTTTGTAAAAACAGGCTCTGATTCAAAGGCCTGGAAAATTTTAAAAACTGGGAAATTTGAGTTTTTTGGTTTGAAGCTACACTCCCATCATCTCTCTAATTTAGGAATACAGGTAGTCCTCGGTTTATGACCACAATTGAGCTCCACATTTCTGTTTAAGAGAGACATTTCAATGTGTTTCACCCCATTTTATGGCCTGTCCCGTTAAGTGAACCCCTTTGGTCATTAAGTTCAGCAACTCGGTTGTTAAGTGAATCTGGCTTCCTCACTGACTTTGCTTGCCAGAAGGTTGCAAAAGGGGATCATGTAACCCTTGGACTCTGCGACCGTCGTAAGTATGAACTGGTGGCCCAGCGTTTGTTGATCATGCAACCACGGGGAGGCTGTAAAGCGTGGAAAAATGCCCCCCCCCGCCATCCCTTGGAACGGCCACTAAGTGGAACGGTTGCAAGTCGAGGACCGACCCATCACAGTTTTCCAAACCAACATTATTGGTGATTTCTTTTAACGAACCAAATTCAATCAATTACTAATTTTAAATAATTTTAAATAAATGACTTCCGAAGCTGCCCAAGGTGATGCAGGCTGAGCAAAGAAATATTCTTTTTTTGGGGGGGGAGGTGGGGGTATCCACTCCTAGCTTTTCCTCCCAAAAAATCTCCCCCAAAAAGGCTTTTGACCCTGTAGATGGGGAAGCGAAGTAGAGCCTCCAGGTGCCCAGGCAATCTATCTGAACCCCACAGATGGCAGTGGGGAGGGGGGGAAAGCTCAGGGGAGACGGGGCTGCAGAGACCAGCAGAGCTGGGGAGGGGTCGAGGCAAAGAGATACAGCAGCCCCCTACCCCATCCCACCCCTCCCACCTCCCCTAATCCGGAGTGGGACCCCCCGCCACCAACTCACCTCCCTGCCAGCAAGAGAAATCCGGATCTACTTCCGCTCCCTCTCCTTGCTCTCTATGGCGGAACCGCCCTCTCCTTTTGGACACGCCTCCTCCCGGAAGGCGGGGCAGGGGAGAGACAGAAGTGGGTAAGCGTCACTTAGGCCACGCCTCCTTCTCGCGGGCGGGGCAAGGGGAGAGAGAGAGAGCGAGAGCGTAACCGTCACTCTTGGCCACGCCTCCAGCTCGGGGATGAGGCAGGGGAGAGACAGAAGCGTAAGCGTCACTTTGGCCACGCCTACCGCTGGCGGGCGGGGCAGAAGAGGCAGAAACGTCGCATCTCTTCTGGCCACGCCTCCTCCTCTTCCCTGTGGGCGGGGTAGGGAGAGGATGAAGCTTCTAAGGATCAAAGAGAAAAATCAAGGGAGCTTGCAGCTAACACTTCCGGCACTCACTCGACCTCGGCAGTACCTATCTCTCTGTCTCCCCTTCCTAAAGGGGTTCTATGAGGTGGTTTACGGTTGGAAGAAAAATGCTGGCCCAGGCAGCTTGGCAGGTCGGCGGGGATTTGAACTCGGGGCCTCCGCCCTTTGTTGTTCCAGATATTCCTAAACGCAACGTCGAGAAGGAGTCATTTCCCCTGCACTTGCATCGGTGACAGTCCATTGATCATCGGAAGTGTATGTACAATTATTTAGATTTGGTTCCCCTTAGGAATAATATTCTCTCTCTCTCTCTCTCTCTCTCTCTCTCTCTCTCACACACACACACACACACACACACACACACACGAAATTTCACTTTAATGAATAATAATAATGTTATTATTCTATTCTGAATTCTATTCTATTCTGTTTCTATTCCATTCCATATTCTGTTCTATACTTTCCTGATTTCTATTCTGTTCTATACTTTCCTGATTTCTATTCTATTCTATTCTATTCTATTCTATTCTATTCTATTCTATT